ATAGGCATGATGTGGTGTATAAAGTAGAGCTTTGCCCTCTCCCCTTTAAATTTTTTATTGAAAACAATACACAGTCATCGGTTCCTATTTAATCCATGGGTTATACTCATTATTATTTGTTTTGATGCTCATGGCGTCCAGGATCTGGCCACTCTGAGGCTCCTGTGCTCCTTTGACACCTCCCACCTTTCCTTGAGCACTTCCTTGCTTTCTGACCCATGAGGCCTCCAGGTTCTTTCCCCCACCATGGCCTCACCAAGGAAACTGGTTTCTTTTAGCAGAGGATGGCACTTAGAAACCAAGCTCTGGGCTCTGGGGGTGTGTTCATTGTTTCTGGGTGTTGCTGCTTCTATGTCCCCTGCGCAGGCACCTCTAGGAAGTGTGTGCATATAACTTACGTGTGTGTGTGCGTACATATCTCTATGTCTGTTAGAAACCGTGGCTTCATACCAGTGCCCGCAGCTGCAGCCTAGTGCCCCAGGGGTACTCCTGCTCATCCGTGCTTATACCTCCTTTCTCTGACAGTGAGAAGCTTGGCTCCCGTTGCCCTCCTGTGTGTGTGCTCGCTCATTCTGTTTGAGACCTGCCTCCCAGCCTTGCTGGCTCCGCCTCAGCCCCGCTGTGCCCAGCAGCCTTACCAGCTGGGTTCCCTGGCCCTGCAGAATGGCAATTCTTTCTGAAAGTCTTTCATGCCAGGAATCAAGGCCTGTTTCCTTTTTCTTCCTAAAATTGCCATTTGGCTTAATTCCGCCTTTCCTCCATTTAGGTACCTACGTCATCTCTTCCCATCTAAAATAGTGATAATTTAATAATGTTCATGTTTTTTCCTTTACTGCCTGGCAAGTTCAGACATTTTTTTCTCTTTTCTCTCTGATCCCTTTTGCAAGCTTTTTCATTCAGGGGTGTCTTCTGGTTTGAGGGTTGAATTGAACTTTTCTTATCCACTTGAGGAAAAAATGCACCTTTATTTCTGGGAGGAAACAAAAGTGAGTCTTGGGCTTCATGTACTCAGTGGTTGCTCTGGGCTGAGGGTCCCTTAGGACACATCCAGCTAGTCTCTCCAGGGCCCTAGCCCTGAGCAACATCAGAGAGGCGATACCAGCCCACCTTCAGCAGCTCTGAGATGTGGAGAGGTGAGGTTCCAGGAGAGTGGTTCTCTCTGACTGGAGCAGGTGAGATGCCAACCATGTGCTCACACGCCCGTACCCAGGACCGTGGCCCGTCCTGCTTACTGCAGCCCTCCCAGCAGGCTGGGGATAGGGTTGGATCTGGGGGGATGCAGTTCCAAACGTTCCCTTGTTACTGACCAGGACATCCGGGTTGAGGACAGTCCAGCAAAAGTAGTAGCCAAGGACTCCACCCCAGCCCTCTGGCTCTGTCCTGCTGTTCTTCACACCTCCACACTTCTGGACACAGATAGCTTGGGGCCCTGTGATGCTTTTTCCTATGCCCTCCTCTCCTCTGCTGCAGCTGTGGGGCGCAGGCATAGGGCGATTTCACTGTCAGCACACCTGAACACACACTGAAGCTGTGCCCTCGGAGTGCACAGAGGAGGAGCGCCTGGCCCATGATGGGCATGTCCCTTCTACCTCTGTGGTTTCACAACTCTGTGTCCTACAAATCTTGGGAAATGTTGGGCCTGGTGCAAGGTCCCTCACTGGGTAGAGGGCAGCAGCCACCAGCCTCGTGGTGCTTACCGTGATGCCAACAGCACGTGTGCCTGTGCACCTGAGGGCTGCCTTAGCAGACAACTGGCTTACCACTGGCCAGTCAACTGCCTGGGCTGATTGGCCAGGAGTTGCTGTCATCTTCCAGGTCACTGAACCTGATTCCAGTTCCCAGGGGCCTGTTTGCCAGGGGCATTCGCAGTGCCAAGCATTAGCTGCTGCTTTCAAGAGTGGGTGTGTGAGGGGTGGTGTGGCGGCTTCCTTCTGGCACCGCGAAGGGAGCAGGCACGTGCAGAAGGCGACATTCAGAGGAGAGGATCCTTGCCCCGAAGCTTGCATTTTGGGTGCCAGGTTCTGAAATCTGGTACTGTGAGCCCTCGGCAAGTTTTCCTCCCTCCTTTCCTTTCACATTCAGAGGAGAGGATCCTTGCCCCGAAGCTTGCATTTTGGGTGCCAGGTTCTGAAATCTTGTACTGTGAGCCCTCGGCAAGTTTTCCTCCCTCCTTTCCTTTCTCCTTCTCTTCTTCCTTCTCTTCTTCCTTCTCTTCCTTCCTCCCCTCTCTTCCCTCCCTCCCTTCCTTTATAA